TAAAATAAAATAAAATAAAATAAAACAAAATAAAATAAAATAAAATAAAATAAAATAAAATTAAATTAAATTAAATTAAATTAAATTAAATTAAATTAAATTAAATTAAATTAAATTAAATTAAATTAAATAAAAAAAAGCATTAAAAGTTTAACTAAGAAATACTTTGAATTTTAAAGTATTACTTTGAACAAATAAAAAATTAACGAAGTATACCGATATCAATTAGAAAGTCAACCAAAAACAATCAAAATAGAATTTAACGTATTTACATAAAGAGATAATTATGTTTATGTGAGAGCACGTAGAAATTCTACCTAAAAGAATAAAATTAAAGCTAAACAAAGTGCACCTTGAAAGGTATTTTATTTGTAGGCGCAGAACTTTGTTAATATGTATATTCAACTCCATACAAACATGCATCGTAAATAACTCACGGTCGGTTTTAATTAATTTCAAAATCTTAAAAAATACAACCAAATAGGAAAATATTTAGCGGAACTTTACAATCTACGTTTAAGAATCCAAAATTTGTCTTTGTTGTTTTATAATTCCTTGTATGGCAACTTCCATATCACAAAACTGATGAATTTATCGAACTACACCAATATGAATCACACGACACTACAATAAAAACTATATTAGTAAGTATTTATATGAATTTATGTAAAGAAATTTAAAATATTAAAAAATACCCTTGAAATTACATACACTAGTACTGAACTTTTATACAAATAAATATTAAGAAAATAACAGCTGTATTAACAAGTCCACACTTACACATGATGACGATTCCTAAAATACTCTTACACACAATTGAAACAATTCATTCATAGGAGCATGCTCGAGAAGGTCCATTAAAAGACAAAACGAATAATGGAACAGTAATTTCCAGGGTCCGTAACGGTTATGATCTTTCTCAGCAAATTCAGTCTCTAACGCTAGGGAAGTTTGGGTTTCTACATTATATAACTAGGGTAATTCTCTAATTGTACATTAGAATTCGATTCGGGAACGATTAGAGATATAACGCATATTCAAATAAATGTAAATAAGCAATATTTCAAATGAATGAATCATAAATTATATTTAAGTTCAAATTATTCATTATTATTTTATTGCAAATACATTTAATATGGCGAATGTGGCTAGTTCTCTAATCATTCTCTAATCGATAACTAACCTCAATGTTTGCTGGGTTATAATAAAAATCATAATTTAACCGTGAAAATTGAATTTTTGAAAATTTAACCGTTATTTTAAGATTTCTATTTTTTTCGATACAGAATAATCGTTACTTTTGTGTTTTTATTTTTTAGATCATATTTTAAACGTTATTTGCAGATTTAATTTTTTAGATCCATTATATCGTTAAAAAATGATGAATTATTTTTGAACTAAAGAGATAAAAAGCTCAAAATAATGATTAAATTTGACCGAACGAATTAAAAATCCATATTTAATAATTCTTCTTGATCGAAAAATTAAAAATCTTGATTTTGAACGGTTATTTTCGGTCTCTGATACTTGCCCTTTAGTTTTTAGCTTTAATTGTAATCTTTTAAAATTGTTTAAAATATTTTGTTTAAATAGGGACATTTGCATATATTAATTAAACTACAGATTCTGGGTGCCAACCTTTTTATTCTTTAAGAAAAGTTATATTATAAAATAATTTTTGTTTGTTTCTTTTATTCATGGACCTTCTCATTTCCTCTAAGTAATACCAATGGAGACTGGTTTTATTATACATACGAGTAAATGTATTTCGCTTTTTTTTTAAAGAAACATACCTATATAAATATGTATGTAAAATATATGAATATATACATACATATATGTATATGTATATATATGTATTTGCGTAAAAATGTTTTTAGCCTAATAGCAGATTCGGGATACCGAATTGCCGGCAGATTTGAGTGAAAGTTTTACAATATGTAACTGGGCAAGACCATAAACAAGAAATTTCCTTACAAAAGTTTTCGAAATATGAACACAATCCCGTACCATGGGTCGTAATTACTGCCTCGCCAGTTTATGGGACCATTCAAACAGACGCGTTATAACGTGGTTCGGTTCGAAGCCCGAAAAAAGCTGAGGGACGGTTCAAAACTGGTTTACAGCACTGAAAAAGATCAATCGTTGACATGTGACAGATGACATTCGAGGCTTTCGTTGGATATGAACTAATCGCCCAGTAATCGCAATGTAGGCTGATCTTTGCATGCAGTCTTCCAAGAGTGCTTTTACTTATGAGGCTGTTTATCGCTTGGCGTTCAAATCCAAAAGGCTTCTGAAATGGCTTCCTGTATGATCTCTCTCATACAGTCACAGTCATTTAAAGGCATCGGCTCGGCACCTCATCCTTACTGCTAAGGTATAGAAAAACGTAAATATTAACACGAATCTCCTTCTCTCAAACATGAACATTCACTTAATCCTGATACACCTTTAAATTAATGAAAATTAAAAAAGCATAACATGAAACTAAAGGGTAGTTTAAATTTAAGGACCACAATTTTTTTGCATTATACTTGCTTCTCTTCGCTTGCCTTGTATTACTTTGAAGTTAATAAAAAAAAGTAGTCGAAGAAAATAACTCTATATGAAAATAAAGTCTGCAGTATTTTTTAATGTACGGGATAGGGAACAATTCAAAATATCAAAAAGTTTTTTGTTCCCTATACTCTCCATTATCCATGTGTTTTCGGTGGAAAACTATTTGTAACGTAACAGTCTTTTTTACTAATTGAATTTTCTGGTAAAAATTTTTTTTATTTAGTTACAGATAGAGCTCATTTTGCAAGCAACATTGTAAGCTATTCCACGTGATATTGTCCCATAATTAAAATTTATATTCTGTCTAACTTAGACAGACTCTGAAAATAAAAAACGCGAGAATTATATTATTTCAAAATGGAATGGGCCCAAAAGAAGAGAAATAAGAAGCTAAACGAAGAAGATTTTGCGATTGAATAATAAAAAGCTATTCGAATTATTTCACCTATTTTTCTAGTAATATTATTATCCTTCAAAATGCATTCTCGAATGGTGCCACTTAACTGCTGTGTTCTCGAATCTAACATAGTCAAACCAAGCATATGCTCTCTAACTCATTACGCCATCTTCCAATGACCATAGTTTCTAAAGTAAAAGTCGTGAATCACTACTCGAAGGCGCATTTTGAAGTAAAAAATAGTACCAAATGGCATTTTCATGTTCTTAACCGCGAAAAACCTCAACATATTGCCGTAGTTCTTAGCTCGAGCTCGAGTTGTACGCAGAAAATTACTTTGGAAACGACCTGCGGCTGCATAACTTCAGAAACTTTTATATATGTATTCATAATTATCATGTTCTCATGCTACTTATTGCATTAAACAGACTACAAGCCATTTAAAAAAAAAAAACCAATTATAATCTTAACGCTACACGTACTATATCGCACAGGTAACGTAACAGCCTTTTTCTGTAACGTAACAGTTCGACTATTTTTTGCAAATATTGACCTCAAAATTTATTCTATCAGTTCAATTAATACGTTGTCCGATTCTTAAGCTAAGAAACTGTGTACCAACTTTTGAAATCATTTTAGAAGGAGAGCAGACTTTTTCGATAAAATAAAGCAGCTTTAAAAAGTACCTCCAAAAATTTTAATGTAACAGTGCGCTGTTGAATCATTCATAACTCCTACAATATTTTTAAGTATATATATACTAAATAATGCCACATGCTCATGCTTTCAGGTGCAAGAAGAAAAATTATCCGATCTATCAGCGGTATTTAAAAAGCACTGCAGTTTAATGTAGCAGTCCGCCTTTTGGGCCATATGTACCTTAGACTGCATCACCAAAAAAAGTTGCGGTTTTTCCGCCGGGATTTCAAAATTTTAAATATTTTAAGACGTCCACCAAAATCTCGAAAGTAAAGAACCAAAATGGTTGCTTGATAGTCTATTTATTTAACCTTTATTTATAGTGCTCTTGACGCACTGGTGAACTTACCGTCACTTTGTGTTATCGTACGTGGGGAAGCCTTAAAGGCCACCTGCAGACTAAAAAGAAACGGATGTTGGTATAACGCTACGCGCACACTGCAGCCGGCATCGGCCGAATTGTGCTCGGCCGATATCGGCTATATGCGGGCGATATGAATAAACACTTGTGATTATATGAGCGCTCTCACACATAAACTGATAACCGAACCGACATCGGCCGTTGACGTCCGTCAGTGACGATAAATTCAAACATGTCTGTTTTTCCCGTCCGATGTCAGGTGAAAAGTACCAAATGGACTGCGAAAAATTAAGTTATTGGGTGCAGAAACAAAACAATTACATATAAAATCACATGTTTAGAGTATATCAATTAAAATGTATCAAAATATTTCACTGCTTACAAAATTGTAATGAAAACTAGGATTTGTGTGTACAAATACGGTCGGCAAATAATCTGGTTAAGTGTGCGCATCAGTTCGGACGGTCAAATTGTTTGGCCGAAATCGGTCGGCCTATCGGATGCAATGTGCGCTTAGCGTAACACTGAGTGACGCGATGCGGAAATCGCCGGCGGCAGATATTTGAGCACTTGTGTTTTTTCAATGCTACAGGATAGTACGCCGCCATTACCTTTGTTGAAGAGATTGTAGAGAGAGAGAGAGAGTTCTCTGAGGGTTTAATTCCAGCACTGAGCCCGCACTCGCACATTGTCGAATATTCACTGTGGGCTCCAAAACTTAAGGCATTGGCCAGCCCTCTATCTAAGTACTTCCAAACTAATTCGGCAATGCAAGTCTCGACTAAATTATGTTGGTAAAAATAACGAGCTTGCTTTAAAGGCACCCAGGGGTAACTCAAGAGTGCCTGGATATGAGACATCTAACCCTTTTGCCACAGTTGGCTTAGACCAGGCATTCCTCGATCCGTAACCAGTTATTGCAACCCACCACTTCGGCCATCGATGCCACCATCAGAAACTGGGTGGATACTTTGCTCAGCAATGACTGAAAGCAATCGAGTGGATGCAGGTGGGCAAAACTCATGTTGCCTTCAATTTCAGAAGGTCTATCTAGTTTTTTCCTCTCACTGAGAAGACGGGACTGCTGACTGGTCACGTCACGTGGCACAAATACCTGACTGTGATAGGCGTAAATGACAAGTCCATTTGCCCATCCTGCCTTGAAGAGGATGAGACGGTGGAACACTTTTTGTGCTTCTTGCTTGCATGGTTGTTTGTTATCTATTTTTCTAGACTCGTTCTTCTCCCTATTGTCAGTTTTTGCATTAAAAGATTAGCGTAAAAAGCTTAGCCGTTTTGTTGTTTTAAGTTTTGTGTTTTTTTTGTAAGGAACCCAGTAGAAGTCTTAAGCATACAACATCGTTGTTGGTGGCATGAGCTTGCTGCTGTGTATACATGCCAGTATAAATGAACCTTCATTTCCATTTAACGCACGTGGTTTCTCAGAGCGTATGCGTACCTTAATCATACACTTGTACTACTGCTATATGCATATGGCTGTATTAATGTTTCAAACATACAAACATGCATTAATGGAACAGTATTAAAGTATTCTTACAAGATCCCCATATGTAAATGCTACTTTTCTGATACATTTTAATATACGGGGACATACAAACAAGTACCACTTACATATGCAGATGCATATCTTGTAAATCCCGTTTTTGCTGAAAATAGTGTCGCACAACACGTCCGTTCACTACAATTTTTGTACAAGACTGAAAATATTACAAAAATTCCAGTTCAAATTTATCAATTCGCTTGCAATTCGCTAGAATTTGAATTTATTCGTGGAAATTCATGACTACGCATGAATTGCTCACACTAATTCACTCATATAGCAAGCATCCTTCAAGAATGCATAAAACCGATTTCTACTGGGAAGCTAAGGGAGTGTCAAATCTCTAATGTCATTAATGAGCAAACCTTTAATTATTGAATCATGCGATAAAAATAAAAATGGTGCCATCAACACAAATAAACTACTTGACAAATACATCACATGCAAATTCACAAGTGAGCCGAACATGTGAGGAGTTTATTTATTGCTCTTTAAAAATATAACTCCTCAAAGCGAGATAGTTCTTTCGTGGCTTTACAAGCTCTGTTTTTCAAAACTTGCAAGTGTATAATAACATTATTTTATTAAATCCCTGCAAAAAATTGTGCGACTAATCTCTAAAGAGAGTATTCCGAATCGGGTACAATTGGGCATTAATTAGTCGCAACTAGTCTCATACGGGTACTAATGGAGGTCAATTAGTCTCGACTCATGCCTTATGGGTATAATTGGAGATCAATTAGTCCCCAACTCATCTCTCACGGGTACTATTAATGATTTAATGTTATGTACGCACTTAGTCAATGAAATTTCATGTGCGGCGTTGGCACACAGAGAGACTATCCGCCTAACAAAACTGAACACCCCAGTTCGAATCTCAGCTGGCGCAAATTTTTATTTTTATTTTTTAAAAGTGACTAGTCGCTTTTTATACCCATTCGGGTATAAAGGTGAACAATTAGTCTCTGCATAGGACATGCTCGAACAAAAGCGAACAGTTCATTCCATATAAAGAGATCAAAAGTGGTATAAGTCGCATGCTCCTTTGCGATTGCTCCCGGAGTCATCCCGGATTAGTCCAATTTTTTGCAGGGATAGAACACAGGAAAATAATTTATTTTTATGTTTGCCACTCCGAATTTAGTTTTGGAGCTCACCCGCGATGCAAAATTACATCGTTATATTTAATCTTCACATTTTTTGATGAGCTTTGGAAATATGTTAGAAATGAGTATCGCACAGTGGTACCGTAGTAGGTCATCCGAAAAAAATATTGATGTGTCATTTTGACACCATATCTTGTCTAATTACTAACAAACAGCCACTCTAACTGGGAATAGAAAAAAAAATTAATTTTTTAAAGCTAAAGCTCCGTTTCAACCGTCGGAAGTGAAGACTTTCCATAAGTGCTTATTAGTTCTAAAACTACGCATTATTTTAAGTGAATCGTGGAGAAGATTTTGATCAAAAATATTTACTTGTCAGAACTTTTTTGATATGGAGCTGAAAGCTGAAGGTATGTAGAATATTCCACGTATTTGATTTTTTTCTTTAAAGTGTCGTAATAGTAGTTTAAATATAATTTTAAATAAGCGGCAGAAAGTATAAAAAATTCCCTTTTCCGATTTATCAAAGCTTGTAATAACTTTTGCACCAAATTGCACGCATGATATTAGTACCAAAATGTTTGCATAGATCTTTAGTTTCAATATCAAAACCTTCCAACTGCGTTTAGCTGCCTCTGGGTAATGCATAAAGATTATACGACAACCCTCAATTTCAAAAAGGTTTTCAAGGTTTCACTTCTTTTTTTAATTGGCACTATTTTTTTTTTTTGCTATTTTTAATTTATTTTAGGATCGAGTTATAATTGTTCTTTTGCTCGAATGTTTATATTGGACAAATGGCTCTCCTATCAAAGCGTCAAAAACCAAGAAGAAAGGAAACGGAAAGTTTTTGAAGCCCTGACACAAGCTACAAGCAGCAGTTTAGGGAACGTTTAGGTTTGGTTGTGGACAAGCCCCGAAGCGGTGGCAGCGGCACATCCAACGACGGCAATACCGCTCGAAAATTTTTACGAAACTCTGATATTTCAGCAAAAATTACTGGAATAGATAAGGCTCTTATTAACAAGTGTTACCACTTCCAGCAGTGCCTATCGTCGGGTTATAAAATAGATACTAAAAAATTTAAAATTTATGCATTTGAAGTTGCGAAAAACCTAGTTGGGGCATATCCGTGGTATAATTTAGCACCATCTGTTCATAAGGTTTTAATCCATGGGTCCGAGGTGATTGATTTCGCAATCTAGCCAATTGGTGAGCTCTCCGAAGAAGCTGCCGAATCGTGCAATAAGCTAGTGAGGCAATTTCGACGTTTCAACACTAGAAAAAATTCTCGTGTTTTCACCAATACTGACCTTTTGCACAGATTACTTCTTAATTCTGATCCTTGCATATCTAGCCTTCGAAAATTACCGCGAAAATCCAAGTCTGAGCTATCAAAAGAGGTATTAGATTTATTATGCACTTAAAACTATGTTACTTTTGTATGCATTGTTTGTATGATCTAGTAGTAATTTGACTTTACATAAATAAAAAATTAAAAAAATCACATTTCTATGCACTTTTTCATCAAAGGGATTTTTTCCAAAACAACGAGACAAAAAACCGCGGATTCATCGCTCACAAAACCTCTATGACCGCCTTCCTTCGAGAGCGGTACCACTGTGCATCGGGGGGACCACTGAAGCCAGTAAAGTTTTTATAGGGGTCTACGAGAAAAATAAGTTTGGGAACTTCTGCTCTAAATGCTTATGGAATTCTGCCAGCGCTACCCATCACTGCTCTACTTGTATTCGTACTTCCCACAAAAATGAGTAATTAATTTCCTTTTCTATCTCTAACATATTGACGATTATGACTAAACAAAAGTATTTATGTCACTCAATATAAGCGAGTTTGAAGGAAAAAATTCAAATACAATTTTCTAAGCTTAAACCATCATCCATCTTGTAATGTAACGGGTATTTTCCACAATCGGTTGGTTTAGCTAAATACTTACACGCATTCATACTACACTCATGTACACATGTATATATGCATATTATGGTGCCCATCGAAAATATTCTTTTTTGGAAATTTCAAGACCCTTCCCCCTAGTTTTATTCGGTTTTATGAGAAATATTATTGCCTGTTTTTATAGATTTTTTAAAGGTCACTTAGAGGTCGCGACCTGTCGATTTAGCTTAGAACATACGATTTTGTAGATTTATGAATTTTTGAATGCCTATTTTTGATTCGATTTCAAAGATCGAATAAGATTTGAGAAGAGGACATATAGGCCTTTAAAAATAGATTTAATTTTAGATAGTACTACAGTAATAGATTATCATATACCAGAGGTGGGCAAGGCCGAGGCCGAAGAGAGCCACATGTAAATGCTAAATGCTACAAAGAGCCAAAAAAAAAACAACAGAAACAAAAATTTTATTCTTCAATAAAATTAAGATAGATATTAAAGAAAACCTAAAAGATCCCCTTGGCCAAATTTTCAAAATCTGGTTATACGTCACTTAAAGCCGCTCGTAACAATTCTGTTAAATGTTGGTTACTCAATAGGTGCGTTCGTTTAAAATCTCCAGTAAAAAATTTCCAACAGAAAAATTCCGGCGAAATATCATCTTTTCTCTCACAAGAGAAAAATATCCAAAATAGTGCGCGAATAGAAAATTTGCAGAAACTTGCAAGTTAGACGAACATCTGATATAAATTTTGTTTACATTCAAAAGTATAAAATTGAAAACGCAAAACACAAATCTCGCGTATAGCGTAAATTCGGGTATTGTAAATTCATTCTAAATTATGTTACATAAGAAAGGGTTTATGAAGTATGCAAGCATACATTCAAATAATTTCAAATCGGCAAATCTTTTTTCAAAATCTGCTTTTAAATCATGTGCAATATTTTTTCTAGCCATGGAAAATGATGAAATATTCTTTTTTTGAGATCATGAATAAAAATACGTAGTTTAGCTTCAAGTTTTAAAATAATTTTCGGCAAATTAAAAACATTTTTATTCTATCTTGAGACAAATTCAAGCTTTGCAAATGTTCCATTTTATCGGTAAAGAACATTAAGTCAGAAATTCAACTTTCATTCTCCAATTGCGGGTAATGTTCCGATCTCAATTTGCGTATGTGTATATAAAAAGAATAAAATAAAAAAACAAGCAACACAATGGAAAAGAATGTCCAGCAAAGAAATATGTATTTTAAAAAGTAAAAAGAGCCAAAATATTCTAAGCAAAGAAAAAGTAAAAAGAGCGGAACTTTGCTAAGAAAAGGGCCGCATTTGGCTCAAAGAGCCGCGTTTGCCCACCGTTGTTATATCTATACCATTTTAAAGGCATATATGTCCTCTTCTGAGATCTTTGAGATCGAATTAAA